AAACGATAACTCTTCAACATTTATAAGGATTATTTCATGACATACAACTTCTTTAAGTCACGAAGATTTGAAGGAATCTTTTCTTTGTATTTTTCTTTGTGTGATGCGTAATAAGTTGTTGTTAGATGTAGCAAGCGAGATTTTTAATAATGATATAGTGTATTTTTTTTAACGACGACGGCTTGTTCTTTGTGTTACCGAAATAAAGTTTCTTGTTTTAAGGACTGTTTCAACAATTGTATTTCATGAATGCCAAATAATAATAATAACGTAACTATATTAAGTAAAATTTTTCCTTAACCATATGTATGGAAGTGAAAATAGGCAAGACGCCTAGAGTATGCGCCTTCCAATCTGAAATAAAACTGTTTTTATGCTACTGAGGCTAGCTGGACCTAGCATCTTAGAAATCGAGCAGACACCGGAATCATTAGTTTATAAGCGTTATATTATTTAATTACTTTAATTAATTGTTTTTGGATCTGAGACTTGCTGATTTTATCAAGATGTTTTCCATTGTGAGTGTTAATTGCGCGTATATAAAGAACGTACGAGCGTACGACAACCCTGAGGTTGACATTTAGAAACATGCTAATCTTTAAAACATTTGAACACTCAAATTATCATGATAATGATCTAATTATAAGATACTGAATACGCTATTTGGAGTGATTGACACCTCTCGTTTAGCTAATTTTCCGCCCAATCACTTAGTCCATGACTCGGCTTTTACAAAATATTACGAACCTTGTTAACTTTTGAGTGGTAAGACGTATTATTTTTTAATGCAATAACATTTACGTTGCTTTGAACATTTCGAATACGCCTGTAAAGTTAATTTTCATACTTAATTTTTTCCAATAATGAAGTTGTTTGAAGTCTCATACCCGTCAAAGTGGCAGCGACACAGTCTATTTCAATTTTTATGTTGACGAGAATTGTACCGAAGTTTGTTTAAACAAGAAGGTAACCAGCTGAGCGAACACGGCGAAAGCACCACTGATAATCGCTAATCAGCTGGTGGCCCTCTAGATAGCTCAGAAGCTGGTCTTTGATAATGATTTCCATTATTTTGGACAAAAAGATCAGAGTGATTTCCTTTTTTAGGGATCGGATGTATCGAAGCGGTCTTACAGCCTTAGGGTCTATGCTGAGCGAGTACAGGTACTGCAAAAGGTGCGTTAAGGCCGGAGCCAGTTCAAGAGCACAAGTACGCAGCACAACTGGGGGAATCCATCAGGCCCGCTCGACTTATGGATGTTCGAAGAAGATAAAGCATTGCGGATAGCACGTTGCTGCAATATAATTCAATTAAAAAGACTGCCTAGAAGATCGGCCTTTTCCTACGCGGTTTGGGCCAGCGAGTCATCTTCCCATGCAGTGGTGGCTGACAGAAATTACCTTGGACAGCTTTTGACCAAGAGACCAGAAGGCACGAGTCCCCTAAGGAAGGTGGGCCAATTTTTTTCCAAATCTGTCAATGTGCAAAGGTGCCACCGACTGGCACCGCAGAGAATGGAATAAAATGTTCCATACACTGCAAAACCGCCTCAGTGATAGAGTCAGCGACATTTGGAGTACCCGACGAAAAGAAAATGGGCCCCAAGGGCAGGACGCAAAAAAGACCGCATCCCATCCCAAACTGCTGACTTGTAGTGCTATACTGGGCGACAGCCCGCGAAGCGAGGCCGTAGAGGGTGCATGACAGAGACTTGGTAGTTTAGACCGAATGCGAAGTCAGCAGAAAGGTCCAACAAAGACGGTTTATGACCATCCACATCTGGTATTCGCGTAATTGCCGGGACCATTTGCGTTAAGTAGTATGCTAAAGCGAAGTCGCGAAAGGATCTTCCCGCGTGATCGGTGTTTTAGAGCTGAGCCAATCGGTATGGTGGGTGTTAAAATCGTTAAGTATCACGATATCACGAGGTAGAAAGTATCAGCCGGGGGGGATCTGGGTCTCGTTAAGAAAGATGAAGAGATTGAGTTAATGTAGAGCGCAGAGTTGCCTGTGGGTCCACCGGTTGCTGAGCCTCCCGGTGGAGGAAGCCCAGAGGGGGATTCTCCACCGCGAGCGCGTGTGTTAGTTTACTCTAGGAGCTTATGTATTACATTAATGTATTTACGCTTGATGTAAATAATTAAATTATAACTAATTTGCCTGGCGCAAAATCGATGCATTTATGAGCAAGAGTTAATTGGATTAATTTTATTTTGGTATGACATAAAAGTAATTTTAACTGATTGTTTCACACAACGAAGCGGGGGAAATGTATTACCGCATTTGGTTTAACAGTGTATTGTCCCATTGTGTGAATATGGATATGATTTATGTTGTTTGATATTTTATTTTCGTTCTTCAAGGGAATACTCAGGGCAAATATCGTTACTGTTATTAACAAATGACAGATTATTTTTTACGATAGCATGAATTGAAATATAACTATAAAAGGCTTTTAAAAGACACGACAACGTAAAATGTTTCTTAAGATTTAAATGATAAATATTATCTACTAGATTACAAATCCCGAATCATTGGAAATCTTATTACCTTCAAGGAGGACTTGTGCCTTAACAAGGGAACATGTAAGGTTATTTTACCTCAAATTTTAAACCTCCTTTCTTTTTGAAGTTCAATAAAATCTCTTTTTTAACTTTGAATTGAATTTACATAAGGAAATGGAACACAATAATAATATAACCTATATTATATTTTATTCACATCTGTTGAAACGTTGTCGTATAAAAAACTTTGGTGTTTATAGTAGAACTAAATATTGTTTAAGAAGAAGCACGCTCTCTCTTTGAATTTTAGATTTGATAGTTAAAAATATTTTCATCTCAGATAAAATTACCATACCGAGTCTCGGAAGTCCTATACTGCAATAATTTTAATGACGATATTTCATTTTATAAATATAATTAATTCAAATTTATAATTAACTAGCTAAACCATTCTCGAATCCACTAGATCACACAAAAGTTATCAAAATCTGATGTCGGATCAGCTTAATTACAAATACGCACATCAGATTTACGAGTACATAATAGCTGATCTTCCATATTTTTTGTATTGGTATTTTAATGCGCCAATTACATTGATTGGCTTATTGTAGAAATCTGTTCATAATCACGTATTAAAACACTCGTCTGTTCGTATTTAACACGCTCATTGTGAAACAGTTGCTACTATTATTGCTATGTTACTACAATATAATACCTGAATAATGTGATATTACTTTAGGAATTCGAATACAAAAAAAAACAAGAAATTTATACACAATTCATTTATTATTTTTTGTAACGACATGGTAGTAACGTAGGTACATTACACAGTTAGCCTTGACTAGAATAGGAGAATGATTCTTAGAACCGGCAGGGCTACCCTCAAATTCTAATACTGATTACAATGATGAGTTTCATACCACGCCAATCAAGGGATATTGAAAGATCTATATCGAATCGGTCTTCAGTGCCGTCATATAGACACGGTGTTAGTAGTTGGTACTATAAACTGCTAACTTATTGTAAGCAGTATTGATTTTACAGAATAGCGGAATAGATCGCCAAACATGAATTAAAATCGTAATGTACTATAATGCCAATTAATGAGCGAATATTTAAACCTGTTTTAGGAGTTTATACATTGTTTTATATACTATAAACTTAGCCTTTGATTTTCGTAATAGAAGAATAGTCTGTAAAACAGTATGAGAATTCATGTAATCTAGATATCTAAAACAGAAAATCTGACCAAGATTTTATATTATCTTTATTTGGCCTTTATGAATATTAATACTGAAAAGGATGACCATCCTTAAGTATAACAATTTTGATATGGTTAATTTTACAAAGTTTTTCTGATTTCTTGTTTGTTAAGTACAGTTCGTGGAAGATCATTTTATACAAACAAAATTTTCGGAAGTTTACACTTATAAAATAATTGCTAGAATTTAAAAAGTTTTATTCAGCTTTCGCTCACGTATAACGTCCATTATATATTCTGCTGTATTTACAATGCTTAATATATCACGTAATAAAAATAGTTCGATAAATATTGGCAGAAACAATAACATCTGTTCTACGCAATAATAGCCAAGATATTTATACAGTATTAATGTATTACTTATTCATAACAAAGACTTGTCAGAGATCAGCCTTGCGACTCTGTAACTCACTTTTCGAACTCGCATCTTATCAGAATGCCAAATCGTAAAATGACTGCTTCACGACTGATTTGAGCGCGACCGCCGCTGCGAAAACCGCTGTGCGAGCTCGAAAAGTGAGTTACAGAATCGCAAGGCAGTATTTGGAGAAATATAAGTGAAATACAATCGAGCCTAGATAAGCAAAGATTTCATTCCTTTCGTGTTGTGTGTTCAATGGGACGTAGCACGTGTTTCATTCATACTTTAGCTCTTTGTATTGTCCAATAATCGACGTATACAATGTGAGCATTAACCATTAATCTACAGTCGTGGTCTTATGCTAAAATGCAGGTGAAGATCTCAATCGATATTTCTAAACCAATTTCTTATGTTTGCTTTTAAAGACTTCTTATAGTGTGTTCGTTATACGGCTTTGTTACATATGTTGTATTATATAGCAAGTCATAAAATGTTAAAGGTTTTTAATTAGAATACTTAGAAACTTTTCTTATATAGGTTCGATTGTATATGACAAATAATATTTCGTATAACATCACAAAGGAAGATAAAAACTAGATTATAATATCCTATATCTTGTTAAACTCGTTATAAACATTCAACTAACCGTATTAAGATAATAGTCTTCCTTAGCATAATAAATTATATACATACTTAAATCTAATTATTATCACGTTACACGCTAGGAGTAACTTAGACAACGCAATATTAATTTTCAACCGAAATTATTTCTATCTACATTTCCAGAATAATGACGTATAATATTGAAATTAATACTTTGCTTTTTGTTTAATTAAAAATCAGTCGCCGGGCAAAAAACTGTTTTGCACAAGTTTAAAGGAGAAATTTAATTAAGCGTAAGAAGATAGTCGTAATTGTCAGTGTAGTGGAACAAATGGCTGCGTTGTTGAGTGTTGTCAGGATGATTTTACCTTCGTTTGCGTACCATTTATTTGCGCGATCGGGCACCCGATTGCTTTTCTCATCGACTTTATTCTCAAAATCCTCGTCGTATATTTCAGTGCCGTACTCGTCGTCTGAAGTTGTCCTCTCGTCGGGATAGTTAAAAATGTGCCTGTTGTTGCCGGGGATTTCTGCAAATTAATGTTCAAGTCATGACCAAGATTTACAAGCTTAATTTAAATAAATATTTTAATCTTTATAAGTAATACAAGCCTCAATTGGCTAAAATAAAAAATGTGTGCGTGTACTAGGTGTACACACGTAAGAAGTGAAACTTCTTTATGACCTTATTAGAAACTATTTCTTTAAACACAGTAAATTTTGATACACTGCCTAGCATACAATTTACAAATTAATTGCTGCAAATTGCGATTAGCAAATTTCAAGTCGAAAATGTAATCAAACTTCAAAGTCAAAAACATACTATATGTCATATTTTAACGCCGATAAAGAAGTTTGACTTCGAAAATGTAATCCGTTGTCAAACTTCAAAGTCAAAAACATACTATATGTCATATTTTAACGCCCATAAAGAAGTTTGACTTCAAAAAGCAACATGGCGCGTAACGGAAAAATGTGACGCGTAACGCAAAAATGTTACACTAAATTTTTTTCCAACCCCGATAAAGAACTTTCACTTCAAAAACTACCAATTGAATCTTATAAAGGAGGTGAATAACCCCATGCGCTAAACCATTTTAAAGGTGTATTTTAGTTAATTTAATATGTGAAGGCAAAAAATAAGCTATATTTTATGGACGACTATACTTCATACTAATGTTATATAATTACTGATTTAATAGGTGTATACTCGGAACTACACAAAAGGTTTAAGACAATCCCTAAGTTAAACTGCAAATACTCGCTTTGTTATCTAATAATAGTCATCGGCTAAGTTCCGAGTTTGTGTACTAACCATACAACCTTATCTTGCTTTCAACGTCACCGAGGGAGTTCTTAGCCACACAAATATAGCTGCCCAGATCCTCCCTTCTAATATTCTTGATGGTCATGGACATTTCAGCCTCGAACATGGATTTCTGCCTGACAGTCATCTCGTGGTGATCAGATGGTATAATCAATTCACCTGAAACAATTTATAAAATATTTGCTTTCAAATCCAATATTAGAATTTCATCTTTTCAGTGCGAAGTTTTATGAAAAATGTAAAAAGTTCGAGCAGACACCTAGAGTTTTATATCCGCTTTATAATTTGTTTCGTTTTTATTTTGGGATTCTTTACTCAGTTAATAATTTGTGGCCGTGTTTTACATAAACGTTTAATGAAAATGTTATTTACGAAGATTTATGTTTTGGACAGGTGGGGTCTGTTTTGTGAATTAATGGATGTGCAATAAAGATAGTATTATCGTTACCTGGATCTTTGACCCAGTAGTTGATGGACTTGGGCGAGGATTCGACGTAACACTCCAGGGTGACGTCGGTGCCGAGAGGCGCTCCCACCAGCTGGTTCGGTACTTGGATCACTGGGTGAACTAAAAATCATACACTCATGTAATTATTATATAAACATATACAAAATCAGACTCTCCTGATAAAATATACGGATATAAGTCGTATATCGTCAATAGGTAAATATATATTAAAGTCATATGAAACTCATATTTTGTAGCTGAAATTACGTGTACAGGTTAAGTTTTATGAACATTCGCGAGGTGAATACCAATGTTGAAAAAGTATTAACTTACAGTGAACACTAATGTGGATCCTCTTACTGACGGTGGGCGGTACTCCATTACCGGCAATACATAAATATGTCCCCATTTCGGAACGTGATATCTTGGTCAAATTCAACACCTCGCCTTGGTAGGTATGTACTGCGAAAAATTATCACATTATATTGTTGAAAATGCTTTCTTTGCTGAAATATATTTTTATTTAGGGGTGTTTTTGAATGAGATCACTTTATGGTATGAATAAGATTTACCCTAAGATTTGCCTACGGAACATATAGGTGTTCCGTGCGATGATTAATAGAACTCATATTTTATTTAACTAATAATTTTATTGAACATTAATTGTCAAGAAAGGAATATGTGATTTCTTGTTAATATATTATATATTATACATATTTTATTTAACTAATAATTCTTTTATATAAGTCCAGAGGGATTCCGGTTCCGGCGGTCAAACTGTTAATATGTACGTCAACGTCGTCCGCGGATTTTAATCGTAAAATTGTGTTTTAAAGTGACATTTTCGTGCTGTGAAACGTAAAAACATTAAAACGAAGTTCATTAAACACAACTAATAAAAGAACACAGTGAGAGTGCTTAAATATCGTGCGATAATTGTTGAAAAACCCCTTCAGAATTATAACCTCAAATTAATAACGGTCATAGACAAAAGACTTGTCTCAGCTTAGCTTAATACCAACATTACGCCATTGTGACAGTGACATTGACAATAGTAGTGTTGCCACTCAAAAGAAATAAAAGCCGACAACCAGTGCTACCACACAAGAAACGAAATTTCCCTAGTCATGGACAAGAACATGGAACTACTTCTAAACAAACTCGATGAGAAATATAAAAATCAAACCGAACTTATTACATACTCCGTAACTAAGAGCGTCATGGAGGCTTTAGACGAGAAAATGAAAACTATCACTGAGGAAAATACTAAACTCTAGAACAAAATTTCAGAACTGGAATTTAAACTCCAAAGAGCAGATATAGAAAAGAGAAAAAACAACCTCGTCTTTTTTGGAATCAATGAAAATTTAAAGAAAAACGCTTTTTACCGGATTAAAGTTATGTTTATTATTATAAATTTACAACTATTTGACATAATTTTAAATTTATCCGACGTTTCGCGTGCTTTACAGCGTGCGTGGTCACGGTGACTGAAGACAAAAGATGTTGAATGTCAAAAAGTATCACAGCTGCAGAGAAAGTTGCATTATCTGTATTTATTTCCGGAGTTGGTATCGCTGTAAAGCACGCGAAACGTCGGATAAATTTAAAATTATGTCAAATAGTTGTAAATTTATAATAATAAACATAACTTTAATCCGGTAAAGCGTTTTTAAATATGGATGAATCAAAGACAATACTATCAATGAAAATATTAAATTAGAAACGGAGTTAGTGGATTATATCAAAGAAATAATTGTGAATATGGGAGTTCATATGGATAGCCAAGAAATTAGCAAAGTATATAGAATTGGCCAGAAACTGATAATAAAAACCGTCCAGTGATAGTCACAATCACAACTCAATGGAAAAAACATCTTATACTCAAAAATAAGCCTGACCTTCCACAAGGCGTCAACATAAAAGAGGACTACCCCAAAGAAATCCTAGACAAACGCAAACAACTGCAACCGCAAATAGAAGAAGAAATAAAGAAAGGAAATATCGCCTATATAAAATACGACAAGCTCATTGTAAAGAAGCCGAAAGAAAATAGAGAGAAGAGGATAAGAGAAACTTCCGAATCACCAAAGGCACCATTAGAAAAGAAAACTAACAAGAAAGCAATATTGAACAATCCATCATCCACACTACCCAAAGCACATACCAGAGATATCTTAAGACCCAACATACTAAACTATGTAGAAAGAGCAAGCTCTGATCCACAAATAAATCTCTCAAAAAACTGAATATGCCCCAGGACCACCGGAACCATCATACATCAACAATGAATTACTTACACAAACAATCAAAAAAATATCTTCCACTACGGCTGGTCCCCGCGGAAGACTTAGACTATCACCCTCTAACAAGAACAAAAAACAAAAGGAATGAAAACAAATTATACATAGCAACTCTAAATGGAAATTGTTAGAGGAGGCCTTTGCCAAGAGGCACACTAAACACAGAGATATTTTATAATTTAAAGATAAGAGTCAACCACAAAGTCAAAGAAACAGTTCAGGATAAGAGGCTTATTATTATTATATTAGTGCAGAAACCAAAGTAGATTACGTTTTAATGAATGAATATTTCAATTACCAGATCACGAATAGATCAATTGCACATTTAATGGGTTTTGCTAGATTAAACTCTAAACATGTCGCTCATTATCATAAAATGCCACAGATATATTAACAAATAATTAGTTTTAACCGCAATACTGCGGTTTTATACTTTACATATAGGCTTATTCTATGTAGGATAAACCGGGAGAAAGGGTTCAGATGATATGGTTCACAATCGGCATTATGGAGGAATCAAACAGTTTTCAAATGAAATTGAATGTGAAATGTAGAAAAAAGTAGGTCAGTGAAGACTTGCATTCTATAATATTAGTAACGTATTTAAATCTGGATTGCTTGACTGTACGTAGAAAATGGACAGTGTACATAAACCTCGAATTAGATATTCAGAATAATTTTTTCAGAGGTTCGTACAAAGGTTTGTGGTGTACAATGAGATCTAGGAGTCCATTCATTGCACAACTCTACTAATTACGACAAACTTTAAACAATACTGGACGCGAAACTCATCCCGAGAATAGTCGCCAGAGCGCATTGTAGCGCCACAAATGCGGTCACACAGACATTCGCATTATACATATTCAGAAAAACAATGCTGTCCTTGCACTATTCAAATAAACTTAGACAAATAAAATATTTTCCTGTTCTTGTCGAGTTCAGCATAATTTGAGGTCAACGAGTGAAAACGCGCGAAGCTGCTGTTTTTCGAATGACTTGTGTAGCAAAAGTAATTCTTTAGTAAAATAATATTTCAACGCATGTTATATATGTGTAAATTATGCGCGTATATGAGCTTCCGGTAATGAAATCCACTTCGTATTAAAGTTTTTGTATCACACGTAGTTAAAAGTTAATAACAATTCTTCATTCTTTAAAAGTAAACCCATCTTTGTTGACTTTTCATAGAAAGCTTTACGATTATTTGAAAGTTCAACTGAGCAAAGGAAGAAAAGTTGGCGTGTATGAAACGAGGAATAGTGGTTGTTTGGATTAAGCTAAGTTCCGAAATAATGACGTAATATTTTTGCGTGTATGCATCTTTTTCAAAGCTTATATTAACGAGTTTTTTTATTAGAATTAACTTTTAAAGTGAAACTTTTATTACATCGTCTCAAACTTCTCGTCTGTGTGTTGCATGTCGCGTGACGGTCGGCCACGGAGTAGGGATAAAGTGAAAGGCGCTCGTCATACCAGCCAAGGCCAATATGGCGGCGCCTATAGTTCGCAGCAGCTGACCGTGTAGTGTACAATGTACATACTATTATTTAATATGTGTATATAATATAAATAATTGTTATTAATATGTGTGTATAATCTAAATAAGTGTTATGTATGTATTATGTATGTCGTACTCTCTAAGACACAGAGTTCAATAAAAATATTAGTTGGAGACTTAGTGTACTTTTATTATTTCCCATTATCATTCCAATTTTCCAAGTATAAAATTAAGATTGATAAAGCGATTTTTATACCCGTAATGGAATATTATACAAAAATTTTCAGTTAAATGTCTATAATTTGAAAAAATTTCACTTTTACCGTGGTTTCCACACAATCCTTTTTTTTATATTATATTTACTATGTAAATCTGTTTAAGAATACTTGATAAATCATTTATAAAATTACTAGAACAACTTTCGAGTCGCTAAAATATTCCGTACCTTCAACGCGTCATTAGTATACGTACATTTAGCGTAGATTCTACGTTACTTATGTCAACATTTCTTCCTAATGTCAATAAGTATAAAGGGAATTTTCAGAACTCATTTACGGCCAGCAGTATGTTAACACAGCCCAAAGAGTATTTGGATTTACACATAGAATAGTAACTTGTTTATTTTAAGTTATTTGTATAGTTAAATAGTTTATGTATATATTTTTTATTCATGCTTCAATGTTAGAAAGGTTATATTTTTTTTAGAAAGCGTAATACAAATAATTTAAACATTTATAAACATCAACATCGAAGGTTATAATCACATGAAATTATTATGTTTGTCAATTATAAGTGTGTTATTTCGGTAACGGTCGAAGGTAATGATTCCGACGCGCGACTTCAATCACTATTATTTAGGTTGCGTGTAGAAATGTTGATTTTATCGTCAGGCTGTTTGTACACAGGCCTGGTTTACACTCGTGTATTTATGAAACAATATCTCAATTAAATACGATGGGTAGCATCTCGTTCTTATGTAGTATTACACGTCATGTTAGGCCTTCTCCCGGACGGGGATTGCATCTTAGAATAACAAAATTGTATATATCTTTTTACACTGATATGGGAAAAGGCTTATCATTATTATTATGTCATGATCCTTCGTTCGGTCTTGCGAGGAAAGGATGGATGTCAAATTTTCTTATAGCAGTTCTAAGCATGATTAAATTTATCTATTTGTTTAATGTAATGCAAAAAAATACAATGCGTATACGCTTTCACTCGGAAAACATTAACGTGTTTTAGTGGATTTTGATACATATTTTGTGTATAACTAACCTTTAGTTTTTGCTCCGATACTGTCCCTCACAACAATATCCTGTCCATCTTCTCGTTTCCACATGACCCTGGGTGGTGGGATTCCCCGTGCCTTACAAGACACCCTAGCTATTCCACCTTCCGGGACCATTGTGTCACCTGATGTCTCTTCTGGTATGAAATCCGGAGGTATCACCACATCTAAGTAGCCCATCTAAAAATGTATGAGAGTATAATTTTAAGCAAATAAAAAAGCGTAGAATCTATGCTCTAAATATAAATGAATTTCAATACTTCTTCTATGAATGGCCGCGTGTTAAATCAGACAATAAATTGATATGGAAATTAGTTAATAATAATGAACACACAAATTAAATCATAAAAACACATATCGTGCTTACTACCTTACTTATGCTCAGCCATCTCGAGTTCACAAATCTAGATTCAAACGTAACAGCGGTATTTGAAACTACCCTCATTTTTCAAACAAACTTCTTTATTGATATTGAACCGGATAAGAAATGACAAAGCTCTGTTTGAATCTAAGTATGTTAGAATTTAAACCATAATATAAAATATATAAGAACAGATCCTTAACCTTATTAAGAAAGCATATATTAAATGCTGAAAGAAATTAACCATTTCTGCCAATTACAAACGCCGCTGAATAGCTTCCAAATACAGCCGCCCAATTTATAAAATGGCTTTCACAAAATAAAATTATAACGGATTGCCCGTTCATCTCAATAATCACATTTTAAAATTAATTGAAGCCTTTTCAACATGGACGTTGTATTGAATTGGAGGCGAACACTAAATAGACACCAAGTCAATTTGGTTTACAGCGCCTGTGAATGGCATCGGCGTTCATAATTGCTACATACCAATACATATATAATGTATTCATGTTTTACACGGTTAAATGTTAATGTTTGCAATCATATCTATTACTACCGCGCGGTGTCATCCGTGTTACTTTGGTAATAGCGTGAAAAAAAGATTTTCTTTATTGGAGAGGAGGCCTACGAGAAGTCGGGTCACTTTGATGATTGATTAACGCCAACACCAAGAATTTTTTTTCGAAGCAATTTATAAAAACTCAATTGAAAAAATATATATAAATTTGTTAAGTAAATTCTTGAATGTGTGTCAAAATGCCTAAATTTCAAGTTTCTAACCAGCGTCGATAACAATTCAGTCTAAATTGTATATAACTGTCAATTTAATATTGATTTAATAGATAATATACGTAAATGTTGTCAGAATAATTATGTATTTCATAGAATAGCATAATGTTTACTTAAATATGTGAATTGTAAAAATATTTGACTTTAATAATTAGTCAAACTCTGAAAGCCTGTATTTTGGTATTCAACATAATTTATATATCGTTTGCGACTATGTCCAGATTGAAGAATTAATTAACTATAATTGTAATTTATTTTGTTTCGTATATAATATATACAGTTCTTACAATCATACTTAGTTGTTTTAATTTCCATTATTTTAAGATGTAAAATCAATGAATGCTATAAATAACAGAGTTAAAATATTTAACGATAGCGTGTTTCGTTCAATTGTGGCTGGTCGACATTGTCCAATCACAGTTAGGCGACCCGTATTACAGTTTGATAATTGACAATTAAGCGAAATACGCCGTGTTTTCGTATTGCAATATAATTTCTAATGTTTTTTGATTATGACTATTATGACGTGTTCAGTGTTAACTAAAGCAACACATTATTTTTTAGATAAAATAATATTGCTAAGAATTAACCTTTACCTGACTCTTCATTGGATCCGTGTTTATCTGGCACATGTACTGACCCCGGTCTTCTTCTTGTACGTTCTTGATGTGCAGGTACCAGGTGGAATGGTCAGAGTGGGAGACGGACACCCGATGATTGTGTGTAATGACGTGCTCATGTATTGCCTGTATCGCTTTTGTATCGGCTTTCACCCAACCCACCTATAACATTGAATTATCCTATAACTTAAATTAATTAAAATGCCCTTATAGCGGAATAAAATTATCATACTTAAAAGAAATCAACAAAGTTCCTGGTTGATTGAGTGTGTTAATTAGGTAAGAAAGAAACACTCGCGTAGACAATATTACCAACAGTATGAAATGTTTGGAAATAATATAACCTCCATACTTAAAGTAAATTAAGGCCAGGTTATTAGGCAATATTCATGCATGAGTGTTTTTGTTAAATTAAGTTCACATAATGAACGGGAAGTACATTTACAATATTTTTATTTATCTACATTTATCTCATTGCTAAAGAATAAATTAGAACGAAGTTTACAAACTTTGTAAGACCACGTATATTCAGCGCAAGTACTTACTCGGTAATTGCCCAAATTGACGACAATACACTTGAACGTCGCGTCTCTGCCGATGGGGACTGTCAGGTTTGTGATTGGCTCCCCGAACTCTGGTACTTCTACACCTCCTATAACAATTATTCCATGAAATACACTTATATGTACGAAGCACTTGTTTTCAAGAAAATTTGACGCATATATATTTAATCACTTGGTACTAATTTACACAATATTTCCTCTATGAACTTTATTACCTTGTATATGACTTCTGTACTTTCTATGAAATGCAATAAATAAGATTAATTAACATTTTTAATAAAATTCATTTGGCTTCCGAATGACACTTTGATACTTAATTTCATCTTTACTAAAAGTAACCGTAAATTCGACCGAACGATTAAGCACTTCAAAAGTCTTGGTTTACATTAACTATATAATCATATAATTTAATATAATATAATAAATTTTTGTATAATTTAAAGTGGTGGAAATATAAACAAGAAGCCTAAGAGCACAAATACTGGTAGATTTACTATAACGATTGAACAATTGCTATAGTATCCTTAAGACTGATGAACGCGCCTTGCAACTTTCCGAGTATACTCTTATCAGAGCTGTCACCACAAACTTACTTGTTCTACGATACTGTCGACTGCATTTGCACAACTAAGACCTACATAAGAACATGTCAACGATGCGGACTTAGTTATTAACTGAAAACTGATAAATTCAGATATTTCCTTTTCATTTATGCCAAAAAACAAAAGCTTGAAGCTTTACTGTGATTAAATATTATTACGTAGGTATCCTTTCGTATTGCCCAAAATCTTTCACAATGAAATATGCTATTATAAATGTAAAATAAAATCTGTACGTATAAAAGACGAGCCATTTATAAACATATCAAGCGACATTGTAAGAGTAATACAGTCACAATGTTTATCGCAATTTTACGTTGCAATTTTCAACTTTGCAATTTCGACGGTGATACGTTCATAAATTCAATGAAATTACCCATCTTTCTGCGCTTCAAGGAGGCCATATATTTCTCGTGAAGACAGCGCTTGCGATGTCGACCATCACGCAAATGATAAATCAGTATGGCACACAATATAGAGCAAAAAGTACCTGCTTCATAAATTCACTGATTTAAATATTTAAATCAGTTCAGGATATGAAGGAATCCTCGGAATAATGCACGCCTGGTGAAGTATCATACAGTGTTTGGAGAACTGAGCGCAGATTTTTTAAATGGACTTAATTTTTTCAGGTAATTGAAAGAGTGCTTCTATAAACTTTTAATTATAAAGTTTCTCGTATATCCTCATTCATTAAAACTCTATATTGCAACTAGAAATAAAAAATAAATTAACCCTTTATGCCAATACGATGGCAATATAAATGCAAAGCTTAAATCTTTCCGATATTTGCAAGCCGGTATTATATGATATAAAGTTGTAAAAAATATGAAGATCTTTGTCATAAAAATTTTATAAATTTAAATAGTTAAAGTATTTTTAATACTTCTTTTTTAGCATGTACTTATAAGATAAGTTACTAATTACACATTTAATCTTAGCTTTGATAACTGTGTAACATTAATTTTGCTTTAGTGCCGCATACCCAGTACCAACATTAAATCAAATTCAAATATTGTTCTTACGGAACAATCCTATTATGCTTTGAATAAAGGACCAAAGCACTGCGGACAGATAGGGTTAAAAACTCAAACTGCAACGCGAGTGACTCAACTACAAATAAACATTTCAACCGGTAATTGCATTTTGAATTTTTTGCAGCAGACAATGTTTCCTGATTTGCTTGTTTAATTTAAATGGAAACTAAATGAAAGTTCCAACTGGTCATTTGTCATCGGGTGGCCGGGCCGCGTGGTTCCGACGAAGCGAGTTCCGGCAAGCTGCTTTTATTAATATTTCCAGCGCGAATTCACGCTTTATTAGCAAACAGCCGTCATGTGGCTGATAAATTATTAATGTGGTCGTAACACAGCTTGTGTTCGCTGATCTGCTTTTTGCAGATAGCGCTCTGTTAGCGTTTGTTTTTGTTTACTACAATGATAGATTGCATGAAATCGGTCCAGTAATTAGATGTTTATAATGCATTACATTACTGCGTTTCATAGCTGTTCGTCGATTCTATCTACATGAGATGATGTTAAATGTGGTCTATTTTGTTATTTTAATATAAAAAATTACGTGAGATCGTAATTATATAATTAATATATTAAGATTTTATTTTTAAAATTTTTAAAGATTTAAAAATTGAATGCTAGCTATTCAATTCTTTGAAAGTCTTGAATTTCATTCTTAAATTACATTCTGTTTTTTAAAGATTTTTCTTTTGATATTTATCTAAAATTTATTTAACTTTTCCATTACAATTATTTATTATATTATATTACAATATACTATCGAGTGATATGTGCAGTGTTGGCCTAGTGGTTTAAGTGTGCGTCTGAACCCGGTGGGCGTCCGTTCGAATCTCGGCTGTGCACGAATAGACTTTACTTTCTACGTTTTAATTTTGGGGAAAACGGCATATCTTCCCAAAATAGAATAGTGTGTCAGGCACAGAAGGCTGATCAAGTCTATTTAGATTTTTTTTCACGAAACAGAAATCTGAGGGCAAAACTTGAAGGTTAAATTGCCACAGATTTTTTTTAATTGATTGATATTTGTCATTAATAGGCGTGTTTGAAGAACCATTTGCAATAACCTATGTGAACGTAGCATTTAACAAGTAACTTATATTTTATTTTGAGTATGGCCAAAGGATTCTCAAATATAAAAGCGATAACGGCATTGTATAATACACTTGTTAGGAGCCACTTGGAATGTAACACTATGATTTGGGCCTATATTCAGATTAAATTTACGGGATACACAGAGGTTGTATGGAGTGTACCTACCCATTTTATCCAACGTTGTTTGACTTGGGTAAGGTAGGATACACCAAATTAGAGGTAAGGAGGGACCTTACTATTACATTATATTTTTTAAGGTCCTTAGAGGTAGCATATATACCGCGGAGAGACTGGGGCTGCAAATGCCAAATAATCACACTCGGCGTGGTAATTGGTTGCAATTGCTTGCAGTAGTACCTCTAGCGCGTACAAATTTACTCAGATAGCACCCTGAATATTATTTCATGTGAGACGGATATATTTAGTTGCACACTGGCTGAATTCACAAGAATTGCATTATTTATAAAATGGTTAGGTTTTATGTTTTTTTGTTTTGTTTTTATTATGTTCTTAGATTATTTTTTATATTAATAGGTTTTATATATAATGGAAAAAAGGAAATATATACATAATTTTTTAATTATGTATTTATGCATAAAAGAGATCTTTGAAAATCTTCTATATAAATTATTTTCCACAAAAATTTTGTCATAAAAATGATATACAGCTTGCCAGCCAGCGGACTGTGATATGTGTATTTCAATTTTTATGTAATAAGTGTCAGGAGAATCTTTATAGTATATGTAGCGTACCTATTAGCAAGCTGCACTACATAACTAAATATATGAGAGGGTGAGAACTGAGAATTTCGTAAATTCTATTACCATTTGAATGCTACATTACTTATAAATGTAACTTTACTAAAAAGGGAATATTTGTTTTGTGTGTTACCAACAAAAAATTTAGCATACTAGCCGATTTGAAAGGTCAAAAAAAAAAAAAAAAAAAAAAAAAAAAAATTAAAAAAAAGGGAAATTTTTTTTAAAAAAAAAAATTTGGGCGGTTAAACGCCGGCAGAGGCCGTTAATGTGATACATTTTTTACATTTCACTTTTTTCACAAGATTTTTAATATGAAAAATTGACCTATAATTTAGTTTACGTTTATTTCATTTCTATAATAGTAACAAAAAAATCCTTATCAATTCCTCCTTTTTTATGACGTAGTAAGTACTTGCTGTATTGGCTGTTATATATTATATACAAATTATGAATATTAAGTAATAACCTTGGATACTCCCAACTTATATTCCCAAGACACTAGACCTTGCTTCTTGAGCCACAAGCAACAACGGCCACAAGCACAAATAGACTTTCTAAATGATAAAAATTTTTAAGATATGCAATTATTCTGAATTTAAATTGATGATAAAGATTTTCAATTATTCGTGAAATTTGCAGTATTTCGCCTGTCATGTTTTTACCCAGCCCATAAAATGGGTTTCAATAATATTGCTATACCAATATTTATGAGGTCTTATAATTTATGGCTTACTCGATATTTTTGGTGTTTACAGCATGACATTAATATCAGCTATCATAACGTTTAGAGGCACTTTTGTTACATTTCTTTTTGCTCTTTACTACTCAAAGCCTTATGGTATGACGATAGGGTAAATATATTTTGCAAGATTTGTAAGATAAACTATTATTTTGTTAATTCTTAATTATTTTTATCTCCTCCTCTCCTCCATTCGAATAGGTTATTCTAATATCTTTTTTGATTGATTGCAATAATGCACTCATTTCATAATGTAAATATTATCTAAGCCAAGGGAAGACCCTATGCCTAATAAGTGTTCTCGTCCAAGCAACTCGTTTAAATTTAAGACAAGGGCAAGGGGGTATATTTGTGATGCACACATTTTACTATATATTAGTAATCACTTTCGTTTTCGTTTGCATTAAATAAGAATACTAATCTTCTAATATATAAAATTCTCGTGTCACAATGTTCGTTCCTATACTCCTCCAAAACGTCTCGACCGATTCTTATGAAATTTTATATTCATATTCAGTAAGTCTGAGAATCGGCTACTATCTTTCAAACCCCTAAGTGAGTGAGTTTCCATCCCCAAATTTTTTTTTTATTGTTTAGATTTTTTTTTGCTTTTATTTTTTATGGAACAGCATACAAAACAACCCCTAATTTTCACCCCTCTATGATCAATCCCTTTTTTTATTACTGTAGATAGTTATTTTTATTGAACTAAAAAAATGTTTCCTAGAAATAATTTTCATGTCAAAACAAACTTTTGCCAGGTCAGCTAGTAGGTATTATATAAAAAATCGTTCATGATACGAGTTTCTGTTCTACGCTTTCGCGTCTTTGTCTTTGAACTGAGATTCAAGTTATATTGAAGGAAAAGGTCAAATTTCCAATAGTCCTATAGATTCGACGAGAAGGTCATCAGGAAGGCTCTATTAAGGTGCCTTTGTAATCCGACGACATCCGAACTGGCCATATCACGAAAAATATTTCGCTATAGAAAACCGAGTGACTTAAAGTACCCAATCAGTAGATAATCTGTGTTGAAATGTAGGCTTTTGATTTTATATTGTTTCGGAAATTAAACAATTTAAATACTATTTAAAATAGTGCTAGTTCACGTTTTATTATATTTATTAACATGCAAGTAAAACATTAAGGCGACGATTTTCAGCTATTTCACATCATTTATTTTCATTTGGCCACTTGCTACAGCTTTCTACGTATGTTTTTCGGGATTAAGCCCGACTTGAGTACAGGTCCCGTTATCGTAAATTTTTAGATTTATGAATCGTAGTAAACACTGAAATAGTTAATTATATCAATAACGGTAGATAAAAGATAAAGCCTTAATTGCTTATAGATAATTATTGCGCTTTTGTAATAAACTTTTCCTGTTCGAGCTACAAACAATGAGAAATTTGTGCGTAAAAGCGAAAAAAATTGACTTCATTAAAAATTTGGACTCAACGAAGCCACCAACGCAAACTTTTTCCATTTCTCATTTTTATAATTATGCTTACATTATATTATTAGGGGGAGGAGGGGGGGGGGGGGGGGGGGGGGGGGGGGGGGGGGGGGGGGGGAGAAAAAAAAAAAAAAGAAAAGGGGGGGGGGGGAGGGGGAAAAGAGAAAAAAAAAAAAAAAAAAAAAAAAAAAAAAAAAAAAAAAAAAAAAGGGGGGGGGGGGGGGGGGGGGGAAGGGGGGGGGGGGGGGGGGGGGGGGGGGGGGGGGGGGGGGGAAAAAAAGGGGGAGGGGGGGGGGAAAAAAAAAAAAAAGGGGGGAAGAAA